AACCCTAAACCCTAAACCGCTTTAGAGGGGCTCCATCAGAAAGGGGTTCCTTTGAAAGGAGTTCGGGTGGAAAGGCTTCGCGAAAAGCGAGGGAGCTCCTTTAAAGGGCCCTAGACCTTGAACCCTAAAGGGATCCTTGAAAGAGGGGGTTCCTTCAAGGGGGCCCCTAGTAGCCTGGACCCTAACGCCTAAACCCTAAACCCCTTTCCCTCTTTTTGGCCTCCGGCTCGGTGTCAGGCGCTGGAGATGGCGGAGGTGCGCTTCTTCTTCGGGGCAGCTCTGCACGAAATCCATCAGGGCCTCAGGGCACCAAGAGGTTCTTTCTCCTTCTTCTTCTTACTATTATGATTATTAATATTTTGTTATTATGAATATTGTTACTATTATTACTTTTTCTATTCCTGCCATGGTCATTAATTTTTACTATGAAACTTATTTTAGTCTTACTTTTGAGACTCTGGAGGCCTCGTGGATCTTGCGACAGTTGTGCTAGAAGCCTCGGTCTCCCCCCAGAGTTCTGCGTTTTTACGCGCGGTTCCCAGAGACTCCAAAACCCCTTAATTAAGGAATATACCTGAAATCTTGTAAGGGTTCCTATTATAATTTAAAGTATTTTCCGTAATTAAGGGATATTGGAGTCTTCTGGGTTGTGTCCCATCACAGACGAGGTCGACGAGCTAAGTGCTTCCAACGAGCTCGAATCGGGCCCAGCCAGCGAGTCCTCGACGGCTGACTCTCAGAAAAGCAAGTCCACGTTCCTTGGCTGCCGTGGAGAGAGGGTCCGCTCTGGAGTTCGACTTCGCCTCATTTTTCAAGGGCACGGAAGCAAGGAAGGTGCGGGGATCTGCCCTTTGCGAGGTGTGACGACCCGCGGGCGAGCCTTGATTCTTCGGAGAAGCTCCGGCGTCGAATCACGATTCCGGTCGTGGACCATGTGGATGAGAAGGTGCTGGATGTTTCTTGGCACCAGATCGCAGACCCCGGTAACTATGCGGCTTGAGCGTGCTTGCAAAAACCGTTTCACAGACCTAGTAACGGATGAGAGAGGTGCCTCTGACGGAGTTGGGGTGCAAGAGCAATACGGGGGTTTCCGAAAATAGGGGACCCAAATATAGTCCCAAATAGTAGGATCCTTAGTATAAGGATCCCAAGATAGGGTACCCAATTTTTCGGAAACTCCCATACGCCTTCAGAATCGTGTTCACGGGTCTTTCATCGCCGGCAGCTTGGGTCGCATTTCGGCTAAACCGCTCCTCGCACACAGAGCGAACTTGAAGTGCGTGGATTTGTCTGCGTTGCTGCCATAGGTCGTGCCCCCTAAACCCTAAACCCTAAACCCTAAACCCTAAACCCTAAACCCTAAACTCAGGTCCAGACGCAGGAGTACTACCGCTTCGGGGAGTCCACGTGGGACCTTTTCCTCTTCATCGGAACCGGCGCCCTGGCAGAAAGCCGAAGGCCACCGTTTTCAGAGACTCCAATATCCCTTAATTAAAGGGAATATACCTGTTACAGAATAGGATCCCTAATATGATTTAAGGTATTATTCCTTAATTGAGGAATATACCTTAAAATGTAGTAGGGATCCCTAATATGATCTAAGGTATTATTCCTTAATTAAGGAATATACCTTAAAATATAGTAGGATCCCTAATATGATTTAAGGTATTGTTCCTTACTTACGGGAGATTGGAGTCTCAGCATTTCCAAGAGCTGAGGTGCCCTGGGTCCACTGGGCTCCCTCCAGACCTTCCTGCTCGCCGTGGTCAGCATGTCCATGCAGATTGCCACTAGCGGCATTATCCCTAAACCCTACACCCTATACCCTAAACCCTAAACCATAAACCCTAAACCCTAAACCCTAAACCCCGAAACCTTCCACCCATTTTAGCCTCCCTTGGCTGCTCTGGTGCACCAGACTCTCCTGGTGTGCCTCTTAGGTCTTTACCGGCATCGCTTGGTACAACTTCCTGACGCCTGAAGTGGACGAAACTCGGCCCTAGCAACCCCTTATTACAGACTCTATGCCTTAAGACACCCTCATTCCCAAGCCTCAAACCCTGAACCCTAAACCATAAGACCCCAAAACACTGGAAGCCCTCAACCTCAATAGACCCCTAAACCCTAAACCCCAAACCCTAAACCCTAAACCCTGAACCCTGAACCCTAGACCCTAAACCGCAAACCCTAAACCCTGAACCCTAAACCCCAAACCCTGGACCCTAAACCCCAAACCCTAAACCCTAAAACCCTAAACCCTAAACCCTAAACGCTCAACCGAGGAAGACACGGTCCGGGACGCGTTCCGCTGGCGCCGCTCCGCCGGCCACGCGCTGACCCAGTGCCCTGAGTGGGCTTTCAGAGGGTTTGCAAGGCTGAGGTGTTAGGGTTTTAGGGTTTAGGGTTTTTAAGGCTGAGGGTTTAGGGTTTAGGGTTCTAGGGTTTCGGGTTTAGGGTTTTAGGTTTTAGGGTTTAGGGTTTAGGTTTCAGGGTTTAGGGTTTTAGGGTTTTCGGGTTTGAGGGTTTGAGGGTTTGAGGGTTTTAGGGTTTAGGGTTTAGGGTTTTAGGGTAACTGTAGACTCAAATACAAGACTGCAGAGTGCCGACAATCGAACACGAGACTCTGCAGTAATGAAAGGACCATGTATTCTGACACAGTAATGACACTAGGTAAATGATCCTCGTAACAACTCGCGACATTTTATACTGCACCATCGTGTAGACTAGTATAACTTGATATAACTGACCATGACACAGCTTTGATATCCGAGACTAGACTAGAGTATGCTAGACCATACGAGAGTATACCCGACTGTAGTAGCCTGGACGATACTGGCCTCGAAGAGAATACACAGAACAGGCTCTGCCGCGGTATACTCTACCAGAACATACTAACGTATGTTACAATATAATGTAGAATAACATGGCAGAATATAGTATACTGATGTAGTGTAATACAGTAGAGTATGGTTCCATACAGTATAGCATTGCACAAAATACTACAACATAGTAGAATAGAAAAAAAATATTCTGCAATACAACCTAGTATAGAACAACACAGTATATTGCACATTGTATGTCTATATGTGTGTATATACGAATATAAATATAAGTATAGTTAGATAAAATATATGGATATATGTATATATATATATATATACACACACGTACACGCATGCATACATGCATACATACACACATACACACATACATGCATACATATGTATATAACTTTGGTGATAAGTTGTCACATGCCCCAAATAGCAATATGTGACTGCACAATACGATACCTACATCGAACATAACCACATGTAACCTCATCCAGTTGAATCGAATGTAATCGAATCTCATTTAATCTTATGTAGTGTGTTATCACAATGAAGATCATACGGAGCCATATGCACGCATACAGTTATGATTGATTTGTATTTTTGTTCGCTCATGCCTGTCTGTCTTTGCTCATGTTAGTTGTGATGGTGCAGTTCGCTTATTTGCATACTTGTCTGTTGAGCTTCCTTGTTTTGTGTACTTGTCTATTCATCTGCTGAATTGGTTTGTTTCTCTAAACTTTCTATGCCATGCAGAGCTGAAAATAATGCGGTATGACTTATATAGCAATGTAATGCAGTCGAAGCACGATTCTATACTGTTTACTATGTGTACGTCTATCTAAGTTCCAGCAAAAGCAATACCCACAAAGACAAGCTTCCTGAACCTGCTCAGTTCAGCGCAGGTGTACAACCCTTAGAACCCTACCAGAGCCATTTGAAGACACCAATAAAACCAATAGTAAAAATAATATTAGCAATCAAAAGAAAAACAGTAATATTGATACTAATATTAATGATAACGATAATCTGTAAAAGTAATAGTAATGAGAATGAAATAATTCTAAGATCAGCCCAGGTATGATCCGCTTTCGAAGTCCTCGCTCGCCGAGAGGGTCTGCGCGCTGGACAAGTCCCTGCCGGTATCCGGCATCCAGGCGGCGGGTGGGTTCTTGACAGGATTCCATTAAGGTTCTGTAAAACAGGGGTCTTATTGATTCCTATGGGGTTTCTGGGTACATTCTAGTATGTTTCGGCGCTGGGTTTGAAAAAGAGTCTGCCTTCGTCGAGGGAACCCTCAACCTACAATCCCAACCCCAGAACCCCAATCCACAAGCCTTAAGCCTCAAACTCTAAACTCAGAACCCTAAACCTCAAACCCCAAAAACTGCCCCAAACCCTCAAACCCCACGGCTTACATCCGAAACCCCACGCTACTTTGGTAGGTATGGTTATAAGTACCCTAATTGGCGTTATAAGTGATGGTTATAAGTATAGCTGCCCCAATCATAGCCCTAGTTACTACGTAAGTCCCATGATTCGTTAAGTAACCCTGAACCCCCTTTTTTCGTAGAACCCTTCTAGAACCAGTAGAGTCATGAGATCCCTTGTAAGGAGCCCTTTGTGGCACCCTAGCTGCTACGTCCCATCATACTTTAGGAATAGTACACCCATATGGTACACCTTGTAGTAACCCTTGTCCTTGTCGTGCCCTTTAGAGGAACCCCAAACCCCTTTTGAGTAACCCTAAGCCACCCTTATAGAACCCAAAACCCCAAAACCCTAAACCCCAAAACCCTGAACCCCTACACCCCTAAGCCCTAAACCCTAAACCCTAAACCCTAAACCCCTAAGCCCTAAACCCTAAACCTCAAAACCCCTAACCCCTTAAACCCTAAACTCCAAAACCCCCTGGGCCCCTTTGGAGTGCTTCGGGTCTTCCCAGGTGGCCCTCTACGAGAACATCATCCGCTACATGAAGCCGGGAGCCGAAGGCCCACACAAAAAACCTCACGGTTTCGGGTTTGGGGTTTAGGGTTTTAGGGTTTTAGGGTTTTAGGTTTGGGGTTTAGGGTTTTAGGGTTTTAGGGTTTAGGGTTTAGGGTTTAGGGGTTTGGGGTTTAGGGTTTAGGGTTTAGGGAGCCGAAGGCCCACACCAAACTTGACCT